CCTAGACTTCCTTTCATCTATCCTTCCAGTGGTTAGAGCTTGGATCAAATATCAGAATAGAGCCTTTTGAAGCTCTTTAAGTTGGTTTGAATTGAATTTAAGTATTTAAAAAAATGAGACAATAGATGAGAGGTTGTATCGGTATTGAATCCTGTAATGAGCTCTCTTCCTTTAGAGTTTAACAGGTTTTTTCCCCCTTGAGCTTGAGTCTTTTGAAGTTGGGGTATTCATGTTGATGCTTGTTGCTTCATTACCTTAGACTTCTGTTTTCTGGCGCGGAGTTTGTGGTGTTTTGCTGCTTTTTGATCTAAGATTATAAGACTCAGAGAGTTTCTGTTTCTTTCTTGGTGTTTCTGGTGTTTTGTTGCTTTTACGTTTTGCCATTTCTAGACAATGAAAACATAAAGATGTCAACATTAAATCCCAGAGAAAATTGAACATGCTAGAAAAAATTGAACATGTCAGAGAAAATTACACATAAGAGAAAAAACTAAGGTGGCCAGAGAAATTCTACATTGAAAATTAAATGTCAAAGTACTAATAAACATGGCAAACCCGAGAAAATTTTCATTCCACAATTAGCAAGATAAAAAAAACAAAGTAACATAAACGTGCCACAGAAACTTATAGAACACAGAAACCAAGAATTGAACAAAATAAATATATTAGAGAAAATTTCAAAAAAGAAACATAAATCTAGCAAGCCACATAATATTAAAATGCCAGAGAAATTTACAGACACAACCAAAGAAACATAGACACAGACAAGAGAATAAAATTATATATAGATGCAAAATATAGCCAGAAAAAATTCAAAAAAGAAATATGAATTTAGCAAGTATAGAAAATGAAAATGCTTGAGAAAATTAAAATGCCAGAGAAATTTGAATGAATTGAATTTGAAAATTACACAGAGAAATTAACCATGCTAGAGAAAATGGGGGAATAAACAGAAACAAATAGGGAATAAACATGGCAGAGAAAATTCAAAGAAGAAACATAGATCAAGCAAATGCCAGAGAAATTCTGAAACCAGAGAAATTTACAGACAAAATCACACAACAATCTTTAAGAATACGTTCAAAACGCAGAGAAATAACATTTTTCAAATTCATGTAGCTTTTATTATGAAATTGAAACCTTAATTAATGGAAGGCTAATATAAAATGCAATTAACTGTGTTTCCAAAGAAAAACTCGTTGGATTGTAGAAAAACTTACCAGAGTGAGTATGAAATCCTAATTACGAACTGATATGCCTTGAGATGAAGGTACACTGTGATGAAGATGAACTGAGATGACGATGAACAATGAAAACGGGTCAGAGAAATTTATGAGGAAGGAATGGAAAAGATTTTCGCAGAAGATAATGAAACCTTAACGTCGATAGTGAAGATGATTCGGAAACCCTAATTCTGCTCTTTTTTTGCTCATGAAGATGGTTGAATGTGAAGTCTGGAACTGATCAGTCGTCGGAATGTAGTTCAAGTTCCCCGTTGATTATGAAGGGTATTTTGGTCCAAGAAGTAAATAAAAAGTGCGCGTTATTAGTTGAGGGACCTGAGACATCATTCTTTTTTTTTGGGTATTCTTTATTCTCTAAATTACTATTATTAGGGACCTTAAAAAGAATTCCCCATGAAAAAAAGCTACTTTTTATTTTTATTTTTTTCAATATTATTTGTTTAGGATGTTACATCACTAGGTAAATGGGTAAATTGACCATATTACCCCATGTAATTTTGTGAAATTATAATTTTTCCATCATATAAGGGTATTTTGGTGTCACATCATATGAGGATATTTTGATAAGATAAGAAAAAGCTATTTTTTTTTAATATTATTTGTTTATGGTGTCATATCACTATGTAAAAGGTAAATTGATCATATTACCCCGTGTAATTTTGTGAAATTATAATTTTACCATCACATGAGGATAATTTGGTGTCACATCACAGGAAAGTATTTTGGTAAGATAGAAAAAAGTAGTTTTTTTTTTTTCAATATTATTTGTTTATAGTGTCACATCACTAAGTAAATAGGTAAATTGACCATATTACCCCATGCAATTTTGTGAAATTATAATTTTACCAAGAGAGTATTTTGGTGTCACATCACATGAGGGTATTTTGGTAATTTTAGAAGTTGGCTTATTTCCAAAAAGTCAAAAACAACTTATATCCTTATTTTCAAAAATAATTAAAAATGATAACATAATCTGTTGAGTATTTATCATTTTTTATAATATTCTAATTAAACATTTGATTCAATAGAATTTTTTCGATATAATCTCATAAGAAAACAAACCTGTCCTAAAATTAATAGTTCGATGAATTATAATCTCCCTTATCCAATTGTTTCAAACAAACATGACTACATAATATTAAGTTTGCTATTAATAATAATTAGGCTTCATTTGGAAACAATGAACAAAAAAAACAAGCTTTTGGCTTATTTTTAAAAAGTCAAAAACCAATTTATTTCACCATAATTCATTTGAGAAGTAAAAAATAAGCCAACAAGTAAAATTATCAAAATACTCTTGTCTATATGGATATTAATAAAAATATATTAATAACACATGAGAGTAATATAATAAATTCATAATTTTATAAGTGATGTGACATTATATAATAATAATTTTTTTTTTTAAAAAAAAAAAACTACTTATTACACTATCCAAATAATTTTGGAGTTTTTTTTTAAGGTCCCTCGTATTAAGATTTTATAGCATAAAGGACATCTAATATTTTCATAATATCTAAGGTCCCTCAAGTTGATCCAGATAAAATTGGTTCAGAGAAAATTAGTCCAGAATTTCTCTGGACTTTACAGAGAAATTTTGAAAATTTCTCCAGACAATGTAGCAACCCTTTTCTTCAAGCAACCTTTGCTCTTGCTGGAAATCTAGAGAAAGTTGAAAAAGAAGAGGTTGCCAAATTTCTCTGGACAACATTGAGGACTAGTTCAATCCAAACCAGAGAATTTCTCTGGATCAACCCAGAGAAATTTCAGTTCAAACCACAGAATTTCTCTGGACCAATTCAGAGAAAATTCAGTTTAAACCAGAGAATTTCTCTGGACCAACCCAGAGAAATTTCAGTTCAAACCACAGAATTTCTCTGGACCAATTCAGAGAAAATTCAGTTTAAACCAGAGAATTTCTTTGGACCAACCCAGAGAAATTTCAGTTCAATGCAGAGAGAGAAGATCATTTCATTGAGTGAATAAGCAACAATAGCAACCTCTCTCTCTCTATATATATATATTAAAATGTGCTTTTGTGCAAAGAGAAATCAATTAATGAAGAATATAAACCATGAGCACAGAATCCTGCTTTGCTGCGACTGCGAGCACTCGAAGACAAATATCATGATAACAAAGAATACAATCCTCTTCACGCATTTCACATAGTCCCCAGCCACATAGGTTTTGAAGATCACCCCACAATGATTCACGAACTCTTTCAACTCAAAGAAGCTTCTCGCCAATCCAAAAAATAGGACATAAAAGAAATATGACACACAAGATATTTTACTCTCTCAATGCAATTAACAGGTATTCTGGTTTGTATCAAAGGCATACTGGTCGAGCAACACATGTAAATTCATGAATTGTATCTCTTGTAAGAACCAGAGATTATATTACAACCCTTCATTCCCCTTGATCCGAGCAGACTTCTTATCTTTCTTTCTTCTGGGAGCATCGACAGCACCAGGGTCCACCAACGGGCCAGACCAAGTTTGGATGGATGGTTTTGAATACAAGAAATTCATGGAACTGAATGGGACATCAGGAGGGTCAAATGCTGGATCTATGTGATGTGGACATCTTGTGTGATTTCGCACTCCCATCGGTGACCAAAGGGCGAACTCGAGCATGAGTGAACCATCGGCAGAACTGTGTGTCCAGTGGAGGTCCGATTTGCTGATGATCTCTCTCTCGGAGCGTCGGCGAATTCAGGGGGGTCTGGAAGGAGCCGGGAGAAGCGACTGAGACTCCTTGAGCGGCGGTGAAGTTTGGTGGAGGAATCGGATTCGGCGGCAGCATTTGATGGAGAGCTGATCGAACCTTGTTCGTTTTCTTGATAGAATCAATCCGAGTCTTCGATATGCTTTCGATTCTGAAGACGAGCCTATCCAACTCTATAGCCTCGGCTCCTCGTGCTGCTTTGCCCATCTCTTCTCTCTAGGGTTTTGGGGAGAGAAAGAGAGAGGAAGTGCTGCTCTGCAGTAGAGGAGGAGAGACAAAGAGTCAAATTTCTCTGATATATGTTTAGGGACCTTTGACATCAAAAAATAATTTTGTGAATCTCTACGAAAAGTGGGAAAAGGACTCTATACTAATTTTCCCAATAATTTTATAAATAAACCAAAAAATAAAAAAAATAAATCAAAACCTGCTTATTTCCATCTTCCTAAACCAAGCCTTAAACTCACCAGTAACGTACTTTGAATATGATATACACCCAACATTACCTTGACGTTTTAAGTTGTAACAAACAACCCATCAACTAGACTTAAGACCATCTCCAACCCTTCACCAAACCTAGCATCAAATTTGAAATTTGGTGAAAAAAGCACTGTTTGAAGTTCCAACGGTTTTACCAAATTGATATCAGATCGAGAATTCACCAAACGTTTCACCAAAAGGAGGACAGGCTCCACATTTCACCAAAACACTGTGCATGACCGTTGGGGGAGACAAGCCGGTCGACCACCAAAAGGTTCAAACAGTTCAAAAAAAAGTTCAAACAGTTGAAAAAAAAAATTTTTTTTACCTTATCGGTTGAGCACTAAAAGGTTCAAACAGTTCAAAAAAAAAATGGCTTAACCGGTCGACCAACCAGTTATCCCGGCACAGATTTGATGAAAATTTGATAAAAATCAACCGTTGGAGCAGTCAGTATCAGATGACTTGGCTTGAATTGCTGCCCCAAATTACTTGTGACAAATGTTTGGTCGATTTGGTTGCCACGTCAACATTTTGGTGTTAGTTGTCAGAATCGGCGGTACTATAAATAACTTTGATCTCCTACCAAACTTCCGATTTCTGATCGGAATGCTCTGAAACCGAAAGTTGTACTGGAAAAGATGAGGAGAGTCTCTTCAATTTCTTCGATTCTCTCCGTCACCCTAGGGTTATCTCGTCGAACCTCTGAATTTCAAGTCATCAATTTCATTCGCTTTTATTGTCATCTCTCTCGCCCTTCTCTCTCCACTCGTCCAGGTCAATTTTCTCTTCCCATTCACCTCTCTCTATCTATATTTGTATATATGTGTGTGTGTGTGTTAAGCATTTCATACTCATCCATTGTTTGTTTATTTGATTTCTTTTTTTTTTTAAAGAACATTAGATTTAATTTCTATCAATTCTTAGTTGTAATAAAATTATTGTTAAAAATAATATTTTGTTATATTTTTTTATATATGTTGTTAAAAATTCCCAATTAGTGACTTTTTTTGTTTTTGGTCACGGTTTATGAATTATCGATAAAACTTAATAGTGACTTTTGTATGACGAATTTTTCAAACTGTTGCTAAAAGTTAAAAATTGTCGACTTTTTTGTGATAATTGTTTTAAACTGTCGATAAAACTATAATTAGTGACTTTTTTGTGACAATTTTCAAACTGTTGCTGAAAATTAATAATTAGTTACGTTTTTTTAATAATGCCTGATGAAAAATATCATTAATTATCATTGAACTTATTAGACAATAAGTCTACCTAGGACCTACCCATAAATCTGCCTTTTTAAAAGTGATTATATAATGGTTGGATCTGTCTCTTGCAATGGAGTAAGTTTAGGCCATTTGTTTCTTGAAGATAAGAATTTCACTAGTGAGAAAGGAAAAGAAATTATGTTGTAATGATGGAAGTTGGAACATTTGTCAAATTGCTGCTCCCGAATAACTTATGAAGCATGTGTACAGGTAGCTTGGTATGTTTGTATTTAAATATGTTTGGTTTCAATTTTTTTAATTCAGTTTTCTGAAAATTGTGTTTTTTTTTCTTCGTATTTTTTTGTTTTTAGTGAATATTTTTTAAATTTTAAACAATTTTTTTACTTTTTTAGATGTGCCTTACTTAGATGAATTTAAATAATAAAATATTGTGAAAAAATACTTTAAAAAATTAATAAATACACAAAAATACGAAAAATGTACTAAACTTTCGTATTTTTTTTTTGTATTTTTTGGTATTTAGTGTATTTTTTAATATTTTTTTCACAAATATTATACTTTTAAGTGTATTTATGTTATGTGTGTCTAAAAATTAAAAAAAATTGCTTAAAATAATAAAAAAAATTCATTGAAAACATTAAAATACGAAAAATAAAAAAGTAAAATTTTTTGAAAACTGTTTTATGAAAATCAGAACCAAACAAGCTAGTAATGCTAAATTTAGTTGAATGGTTTAGTTGTTAAAATTCAACCTATTTAATGCCAAAAAAAATTAATCTATAAAATAAAATTAAATGTCATTATGTTAAATAACTTATAAACAACAGCTTAATTTTAAAATCATGTTATGCATAAAAAAGGCTCAATGAAATTAACTTCATCTGTGTATAGAAGAATAACTATTCCGGCTAAGGTACAACTTGGGGTATATACTAGGTATCTGGGGTACGGCAAAAATAAAGATGAAAAAATTTGGGCAAGTGTACTTGATACGTATGCAAAAGTGTTATGCAAATTACCAGTACCCGTAGGCATTTTTGTTGAAGTATCCATCCATCCTAAGGAATAACTAAAAATCAACCTGATCAACTACTTTCTTGGTTGGGGTGTAGACCACTACGGCAGATGAATGCAGTTTTTTCTATCCATAATGGATAGGCAGTGCTCTGTTTGAGCCAATGACCTTTAGATAATTGTCATGATGCACAAGCTTTTAATTAGTAAATTTCTTGATGATCTTTCCTTGCTGATGGCTTTAAATGCTTATGTAAAATTTTCTCCTTCAGGACCACTTACGCAGTATAGAGCTCTTGTTGAGCAAGGGAAGCTACAAAATGATCCTTATCAGGAAAAGGTGGCTCTAGAGCTGGAAAACCTGCTCGGGAGGTTAGAGCAATATGAAAAAGATATGGAGGAATACCATGTGTGAATAAATATCTTGTGCTCTTTGTGTAACCAAGATAATCCCAAAATAAGGGTTTCCTTGTGATGTGCATTTTTTTGTAAATTTTACAGGTAAACCTAGCCAGGTGGGAGAAAGAGAGGGAGAATGAACGACGCAGGCTTTTGATGGAGGAAGCTGAGGCAAAACAGCAGGACGGTATATGGACATCAGTAAATAAGCATCGAAATAGACTTGTTGAGAGATGGGTAGTTCGGTGAGGCACATGTTTCAACATTTTCTTGTTAAAATAATTTTTGGACTTAGAAACTGACTAAAAAGCGCTGCTTGGTATAATATTTTTTTATGTGCTGACCAAGAGCTTCATAATTATTATTATCATCATTTTTATAGGCTTGGTCCAGAGTATTCTTACTACCCTCAAAAAAAGAAAGAAAATGTCCGGGGCATAAATGTTTTTGTTACTGTTAGCAAGTTCTAGCATCCTGTTAGTTTTGGTTCAACAAATATTTTTGAATATATGTGAAGCCACAATACACTATATCAATCTTTAAGATGATCTATATAATATCTATATTTCACTGTTCAAGAAGTTAAATTTTAACCTAAATGTGTTTCTCTGATGCCATTGTTAGGAAATTGACCATAAATGATACTATTTTCGGGATCTTAATGAACTTTTTATGTGTGTTATCTAAAATAAAGTAATACCTAAGCACAAAATAGAAAAAAATTGAGAATAAAGAAAAATATTAAATTTATTAGAGAGTTTGAGGAACTAGATAAGAGAAGAGAGACAGAGATGGAGAGGAGAAGATAAGACAAGCATATGATTAAGTTATTTTTTTCATCCCTACTATTACTAGAATTTTGTTTTTTCTTATAATGAAACCTCTTTCCCGACTAGGCAACTGAACCTTTAAACCTTTGGTTTATGAGCTTCTAATAGTTATAGACATCTATACGTTCAAATATTTAATTATTGAGAATTTACTAACATTTATGTATGTTTTAGTTTTAACCCCCCGCCCCTATCATTTCCCTTATGTTTCTGGAACGTTTCTGTTTCCAAGCTAACTAAAACAACGCACTCAAGCGAAATTTTGATCCTTGGTGGATAACATTTTTGCATGTTCATGTTGCTTTTAGTAATCATAATTTGCTTTTCTTAACAGGGTATTCTTGTTAGTTATTCTCTTTACTGATTTTTTCCCTTTCACCACAGTAGAAAACCTGATAATGTAGAACCAGGAGTGGGGAAGTGGGTTTCATATCTTAATCGTGAGAGGAAATTGAATTCACTAGTTGGTCGCCGTCCAACTGCTCCTCCAGCCCCAAAAGGACTATATCTGTATGGAAATGTGGGAACTGGTACGTTGCTGAACTATATTTATAATTTATGCTAAGCTGTCAAGAAAATATATGCAAATGGTCTATTGATTTTCCTAAGAATGTGCTTTGTTTATTACACAAATGTTTCATTTGTTTGGTTAGCGTCTCCCTCAGACAGAAGATTTGTTGCTATTTATGATGTTATCTCATTATATATAAGTGAAGACAATTTTGTGCACTGCGTAGGGAAGACGATGCTCATGGATATGTTTTATAGTGCCACTGAAGGAATTGTTAAACATCGAAGAAGGTTTCACTTTCATGAGGTGAGTGTTTGATTATGTTCTGTGGATGTTCCTGATATCTGATTTGTAATATGATCACTGTTTTCCTTTTGAAAATATATTCCTTGGCTTCTTTAAATAGAACATTTGTTGTCATTCTTATTTTCTGTATGCATCCCCAATTCAACAATTTTGGCATGGCTACTCTCTGTGTGTGAGGCTAGATGAGGGGTACACTCCATTACTTGTACTCTTGTCCATGCACCCTGTGTTATGTGGACTATTCTACTTACCTCAGTGTACTCTTGTCCATCGGATATGACATGGGTAAAGGTGTGGGTATGTGTCCAACTCCCATACTAAGTTTAGACACTTGGATCCTCAACTTTTATATGACGTTTGAAGAAAACACACTCACTTTTGCTAGTAAAAAGACCTCTCTAGCTTCTCACACAAAGCTTTGTGTTCTTGATTTGCCGCTTACAATTACAGATTAGAATTCATCTAATCAAACACCTTCATCCCTAATCTGTAGGCTGTATTAATTATATGCTTGCATTCTTTGCATATTTAGCCTGCTTTAGGAAAGGTTATTTAGATTTGGATTATTGTGCTAATTGCTGAAAGCCTCTTTTTTTTCGTTTGTCTTTTTTTTTCTTTCTTTTTTTTTTCATCTTAAAATCTTGCCCCTATCTATCTTACAGCACTGGTTACCTCTCTCTATCTTTACACCTGATCTTGTCATTAGTGTTCATGTAAATTTGGGATTTGGCTGCTAGGGTTTTCAACGCTCACCTTATATTCCTCAAAATAGCTACTCTAAAAGCGATAAGTCCTTAGTCCTTATGCAAAGAGCAGAAGGGGGTGCATATGAAAAGTGAAAGGAGAATGATGTCTTTCAGCTTTCAATTTCTGACAAGTGACAACTATGAAAGTTGCTTGCGTGGTTTGTAGATAACACAGGGATTGAAGCCATTTTGTTGCTAATGTAAGAATGGTGTTCAGAAAACATACCGTGCTAGGGTACTGATGTCTTTATGGCTGTTCGATGCCCAGTTGCCCCAAACGATTTGGCTATTGGGGAATCTCTCAAACAACAAGTATCAAGTTTTCACACCCTTCTTCCGATTTCCTCTCTCATACATAGAGAGATTGACTACACAATCTTTTAATATGGAAACAAAGTTGTATGATAACAAACTATGAACATAATGGAGAATAGATACATACACGTCCTACCTTTGGTACCGAAAATCAGATACCATGTTAGACAACTTTTTAACCAAAAAGCTTAGATTAGCAAAGATCGGACCAAACAATGTATGTCATACTGTTATGGTGGTCGACAACTAGGGGTCATCTAGAAAATTAGAGGGACAATTTTTGATCCACTTTGGGTTTATTAAGAGCAAAAGATTGATGAAGTCAGAAATAAATTTTCATTTTTTCTACACATTAGATAATCCCTTCTCATTTATCTATTAAAGTTTAAGAAGATATAAGCTTGTAGTATTTAGTTCAACTTAGGGGTGCAACTCGGGATGGTTGAGATGTTGTCTAGGCCCAACCCGAGTTGTGCTGAGAGTTGCCCAAGCCCGAATTGCAACCTGAGGTTGTTTGCCCAAGCTAGAACCGAGTTAGGCCCGAGTTGCCCATAAATTTGTTTTTTATTTATTTTTTTCAACTAAGTTGATTAATTTGTTATAATTATATTCTACTAAATTTTTTTTTGGGGGTAAAATCATTAATAATATTAAAACTAATAATTTATATGATGTGAGAGCTACATTATATGGACTTGTTAGTTTTGGCAAAGTACTTGTGTTGACACGACACGGGTACGGGTATGGAATTCGGTTGGGATATGACATGGAGAAAGTGGATACGACATGCGAAGAAGAAAGATGGTATACCTGCGATTAGAGCTACGAAAATGGAGATTAGGGCTTCGATCTTCATCTCAGGTGCGATCTTCATCTTCTTCGATCTCTCTCTCTGTCTCTCTCTCTCTCTCTCCCTCGATCTCTTCTTCTCTTACTCTCGAATCTTGATTTATCTTCTTCTCTCTCTTCGTCTCTCACTCTCGATGTCTTCATCTCTCTCTCCTCTCTATTTTCTTCGCTCTCTCTCTCTTTCTCCCTCTCTCTCTTCTTTTTAATATAACTTATTTTATATAATCTATTTTATCATATATAATATATCACAAATAATATAATTTTTATGCTTAAATAAAAAACTATTTATTTTGTCATATATAATATAATTTATTTTATGTCTAATATAATTTTTATTTGTTATTTTTTAACAGAATCAATTATTTCTTAACTTTCTATAACTCATCTTCATATAATCTATGAAGCATAGACACGGCAAAATCAGTGCCATAATCTATTTTATCATATATAATATATCACAAATAATATAATTTTTATGCTTAAATAAAAAACTATTTATTTTGTCATATATAATATAATTTATTTTATGTCTAATATAATTTTTATTTGTTATTTTTTAACATAATCAATTATTTCTTAACTTTCTTTAACTCATCTTCATATAATAAATATATTTAAAAAATAACTATTTAACGTATCTCCGTATCCGTATCCAAATTTGGATCTATATCCATGTATCTTCAATTTTATGTTTTGAAATGTTTGACCCCTAGATACGCAACCGCACCTAAGTCCATGTAACGTAGTGTGAGAGTGATGTAAATTTGAGGAACCGATGCACTGTTGTAGTGATCTTTGTGTAATTTCTAAGTGTGAAAAAAAAGGGGATATGTTGTGTTACCTGTGTATATAATATAGGAGAAATATAAAAAAAAGTGGGAAGTAGGAAAATAATTGCAAACTCATGAAAGTACAACACTCATTTGCACAAATCTAGTACATAAATCACTTGTACTTTCATGAGTTTGAAATTACTTTTATACTTCCCATTTTTTTGACATTCCAACAGCTAATAATTTATATGTATATCTAATATTTTTATATATTTATATATACAATTCGAGCTTTGGTTCTTAGTAGCTGGAATCACTGAAGTTGCTCACGAATCAACCAAAGAAGTGTGCTTATGCGCTTCTGAGGAATAATTGGAGAAGAATAGCGAGTTTGATGCTAGAGAAATGCGAATCTGAGAAGAGAAGGAACTTTGTGTATATAATATATATTCAATATAATTTAATAATCTAAATTACTTTAATATCATGTAATCGCTAATAATTTATATGTATATCTAATATTTTTATATATTTATATATACAATTCGAGTTTTGGTTCTTAGTAGCTGGAATCGTTGAAGTTGCTCACGAATCAACCAAAGAAGTGTGCTTATGCGCTTCTGAGGAATAATTGGAGAAGAATCGCGAGTCTGATGCTAGAGAAATGCGAATCTGAGAAGAGAAGGAACTGATCTAGATTTGTCATCCTCACTCTCAACCTCAATCTCTTTATTGATTGTGTCTTCTCTTGATCTCGTCGTCGTCGTCTCTCTCTCTCTCGATTCGTCTCTTGATCTCGTCTCCTGTTGAGATGGATTGATCTCCTCCTCCTCTTCTCTCTGTCTTTGTCGTCTCTCTCTTTCCTCTTCTTCTATCCATCTCTCTCCTCCTCTCTCTCTCTCTCTGTCTGTCTCTCTTCTTTTATTTTATTTTTTAAAGAAAATAAATAATTTTAGAATGAATAGATAAAAAAGTAATAAAAATATTTTAGAATAAATGAAAAAAAATTCTAAGATAAAAGTATATATTAGAATATTTTAACATATGATTTTTTGTACTTCTTTTAATTATTTATAACATATATATTTCCATTATCATTAGAGGAAAAAAAAAAATCTTACAATATATTTTTATATATTATTTAAAATATACACAAATGCTCCCAACCAACGATTCTTGAAATGTCTACGATTCCACGCTCCTGCTCTCGTTCCCGTTCCTGTTTCTGCTCTCGCTTCGTGCAACTAAACTTTGGTTGTTTGTTTTCTCTGCCCAAGCCTGCCCCAATTTAAATCAGATTTCTGAATTTTTGTCCAAACCCGCACCAAATTCAAAAATATATTACCTAAGTCCTAGAAAATTTTAGGTTGGGCTCAGGCTGAGTTGCCAAGTTGCACCCCGAGTTCAACCTAATTTGAATAAAGTAGATCTGACTCTAAGGAGGTTAGGAAATGATGAGTGGCAAATTGCTTTTTGGGGAAAAAAAGAGTAAAATTAGATGGACTATTCTACCTAGTTGCCATGTGTGAGCTGTCATGAAACCTGCATCAAAAAATGAAACTATTCCTTCTATAGCTACGTCAAATTAATAGAAGGGTAAACATCATGTTGATCAAGATTTCTTTGTAAATCAATTGTGAATTTGATGTGCTTTATTTTGTTTATTAGTGAATTTGTTCATATCATTATGTTCATTCATCAAAGAGGGGAAAAGAAAGTAGAGGAAAGTTGTGAACGACTCGTCAATGAAAGTATGGGTACTCCAAAAATGTTTCTGTATGAGAATTGAGTACTAACCTGGTACTAGTACGTGTACCAGTAGGACTGTATGTGCCCCTCAAAATTTTTTTCTATCTAAAATTTTGAAAATATAATTTAACTTGTGCTTAAAAAATTATATATGCATCTCTAAATTTGTTTGGGATTTAGATTCTTTCTATTACACGGTTGAAAATCTCCATTCTAATACATGAAGTTGTGACACATTAGTAAAAACGCAAAATCAATGGTCTATAATTTTTAAGTGAATTGGAATTTTAAAATTTTCATTTAGTGTTTTCGAATTTGAAATAAAGATATGTTGATTTGGCTATTTCATAGCCATTGATCTTGAAATGGATATCTGCATTCCAATCATGTATTGAAGAGTATTTGGATCCTTTTGTTTGTAACCCATCCTTTTTATCTTCTTAGCAAAACCCCTAGAATTTACCCATTCAAATTTTATTTTGCTATAAAATTCATTTATTTATCATCTATGAAGCACGGGTACTCCAAAAATAGTGCCGTACGAGTACCGGGTACTTATCGGGTACGGGTACGTGTACCGGTACGGCTACATGTGTACCGGGTACGACAAAAGGGGGTTCGGTACGTTTGGTTCATTCGGGTACGGCGTGGGTACGCCATGGGTATGTCGGGGCCTTTTTTTTTTTTTTTGCCCTTGCAGATTAGTAATTTTGATTTTTTTTTTTTGGTGCCCTTACAGATCAGCAATTTTGATGTTTCTCTGCTGTCCTGTCTATTTGTATGAATTGTATAACTATATCAGCAAATGATTTTGATATTTTTAAAAAGCGATTTGAACAAAAAAAATAACAAGGCCTATAAAGGGTAGTTCTGTGTATGACTATGCATTACAGTGTTTTAAAAGGCTCCAGGCGCACCGAGGCGATGAGGTCTCCTGTAGCCTAAGCGCGAGGCGAGGCGCGCGCCTCACCAAAGCGAGGCGCACATAATAAAAGCAATGCAAAATTATAAAATAGGCAAAATTTTTAACATAACAAATATATGTAGTATATTAAAAAGTATAATATCCAACAAAAGGCATAAAGTATGACATTCACATCCACCAAAAACCTTATGTACTAAAATCATCATCCATATAATTCAATGCAACTAAGCTTCTAACTTGTGGTTCAAAAAGGAAATTAAAATATATAAGTCCTATAGTTGCATAATTGTACTCAAAACTTAATAGACATCATCATCGGCATGAAGAACTTCATCTCCTCCATCATCATCATCATTGGATTTGTATCCATCCACATCCTCCTCTTCAGCCTCATCTTCATCTTCATCTTCATCGTCCCATTCATCTTCTTCATCTACAAGTTGTTGGTGTGTTGTCCTAGACTTAGAAAATATGAGGAAGAAGAACTCCAAAAATATGAGGAAGAAGGAATATATTTCTGTTATATTCAAAACTTCTTATTTTACAAGACCAAATGACACTCCTTATATAGGAGATATTACAAACATCATTATAACCCATTATATGCCACTTACATATTATATATTACCACTACCTACCACTATCATATTATATACATGCCACTATCTACCACCAACACCACTATCATATTATATACATGCCACCATCTTATTATATACATTAACACAAATTTCTAGCACTCCCCCTCAAGCTGGTTTGAAGATATCTTCCATAGCCAGCTTGCTAGTCAGCTTATCAAATTGCTTCTTGTGTAGTCCCTTCGTTAGCACATCAGCTAATTGTTCACCTGTTGAAAGGTAGGTCATACAGATTATGCCAACATTGATTTTCTCCTTGATGAAATGTTTATCCACTTCTATATGTTTTGTGCGATCATGTAGAACTGGATTATGAGCTATAGATATAGCTGCTTTGTTGTCACAATAGACCTTCATAGGTGTCGGGTGAGAAAGCTTTAATTCTTCAAGAATTCTTTTAATCAACATTACTTCACAGATTCCATGGGCAACAGCTCTGAACTCTGCTTCTGCACTACTTCGAAAGGAAAGGGGATCCAGATGATAGGAAATTTATTCCAACCTCATTCTTCCTAAATTTTCTATTTCAACGAATAGGCTCTTAACAGAATTATAGATGGACAATGAGAGAGAAC